ATTGTGTTCTTTTGAGGGTGTCACATTACCTTGCTTTTTATGCTTCCTGTATCTTTATGTTGACTTATATGCATTTGGAGCAAGGGTAGCTTTTTATTTTAGAATTTGTTTTTGTTGGGCAGGGGGACTTTTCCTCTTGAAGATGTGATTATGATGTTGGTTGGCTAGGGTTTTACTGAAGGCATTCCCTAATCCTCACCATTCTTATGTCCTGGGCCATGTCATAAGATGAAATATAGCATACTTGTCATGGCTCCTCTTTCTTCCATATGCCAAAGCCATGACCAAAACCGTAGGTCTAGAGGTGTTTGAATAAGTATCCCAGTAGCTCCCCTTCATATGTGAGCGGTAAAATTTTAGGGGGACATGTTCTTAGATGCTCTCTTCATCAAGATTGCCCACTATGTGTCTTATAACATCCAGCCTTTTTCACTTTTGTATCCTACTTATCCTTGAAGACTGTGATGAGGTATCCTGAAGTCCTTCCTCAGTCTCCTAGGTAGAAATGATATTTCTCTGCTTTGTGTCTTCACCATTCTCCTTACATAATCCTATCATGAAGTTCATCAACCACATTGGCAGTTGTTTGCAGTTTCTGTTTTCAAACCCTAGCCTCAAGGAGCTCAGCTACACAAACCACTCAGTTTTGTATCTCTTAGCTCAGTGGCTTATAAATGAGGGGGTGAAACTGCTTCTCCAACTTTATATCACGTCTCAGAGAGCCACTGCCTTCATCTCCTAAATTCTTAGAAAATGCAGTATTTGAAAGAATCTGTGACAAAATGGAATCTAAGCTTTGGCAATAGGACTTCTAATATCTTACTGACTGAGAAGGCTTGTCTTAAAGAATAGACCCAGAAGCCCAACACCCAATCCATTGACCTCAGCTAGTGTAGACTTAAATCCTGTGCCCTCTACTTAACTAAAGCCCTGCTCCACCTAATGTATGTTAGATCAGAGGTGGGGGATGATAGTGGTGGTAGTAACCAGGACTCTGGTCAATATTCTATGCCAAAGGATGCTAAAGATACATAGGTTTCAGTTCTCAGTAGATTTCCATGAAAAGTCCTTGGCCACACTTCTAAAGGACAGAAGAACCTCCACGCCCATCCTGCCCCAATCCAGGATTGTCTATTTCTTCCTTCCAGGTCACTTGCAACAGGGCTGGTCCAGATGAGATAAATCTGACAAGATAATCCTGGAGCTATTTTGTCAAATGGCAGCCATTGGCAACAAACCTCTTCTTGGCATTATGAGGTGCCCCTTTATGAACAATTCCAGTGATTATCCTATCCATAACCCAGCCATTTTGCTTACATGCTTCATGATTTTTCAGAACCAACTTCAGTATAATTGCTTTCTCTTGCCAGTTATACTTTCCAGAAAGACTCTAATAGCTTTTTTTTTTTTTTAACCCCATTTGTCACTGTATGTGTTCTACCCTCTCTCCTCCCTGGCTGACCCTCTGCCTGGCCCTCTGCTTCATTTTGCTTGCCTGGTCCAGACACTTCATTCAGTTCAGATAATGACATATTCCTCCTTGTCTTGACATGGGGACCTACTGATTTTTTGTGCAGGGCATGACCACATTCATCAGTGTTTATACTTGGAAAGAACCATACAACAGCCTCCCATTCCTCATATGGTTTTATTTTAATTGCTTTTATGCTGCATTGATCTATTTTAGTGCTTTAGTTCTGTCCTATGAACCCCGAGTGACTTCTGCAAGACATGAGAGGTTTTTTGTTGTTGTTTTGTTTTTGTTTTTTAGAAATAGAGTTGCACTATGTTGCTCAGCCTGGAGTATAGGAGCACAGTCATAACTCACTGCAACCTGGAACTCCTGGATTCAAGCAAGCCTCCTGCCTCAGCCTCCCAAGTAGCTAGCTAGGAGCAAAGGTGTATGGCACCATGCCCAGCTAATTTCTAAAAAATGTTTTGTAGAGATGGAGTTTTGCTATGTTGCCCATGCTGATCTCAGATTCCTGGCTTTAGGTGATCCTCCCACCTTAGTCACCCAAAGTGCTGGAGTTTCAAGTGTGAACCACCATGCCTAGCAGTTTTTTGGCTTTAACTGAAGAAGGAAATATGTCTGCATCAACTGGGAAGAACTTTGTATGATTTAAAATGATGAGGACAGCAAATACCCCAATAGCTGTTTTTGGCACACAGTTTGAGTCTCATCAGTATTTGTAAGGTTTATTGCCGATGTAGAATAAGGAATCTGAGGCAAATATGAGAAAATGAGAAGCCAATTTATTTAGCTCCCGGCGATGTTCTGTGGTCCAGGAAGGGGCCAAAGAAGTTGCGCCTGGCTGATTAGGTTATGGGGTTTTATGGGAAGGGAAGGCAATTGATTGGCTATTGGGGAAACAAAGCAAAGGCAATTTTATTGGCTGTCAGGAAGCAGGAAGTGCCTGAAACTAGTTGCTATTAGTAGGGGGGGCGGGACTTTGGGTAAGTGGGTCTTGATTGGCTGTTGGGGAAACAAAGTGAGGGCAATCCTATTGGCTATTAAGAAGCAGGAAATGCCTGGAGCAAGTGGTTATGGGTAGGCAGGCGGGACCTTGGGTCTTGATTGACTGTTGGGGAAACAAAGTGAAGGCAATCTTATTGGCTATTAAGAAGCAGGAAACGTCTGGAACTAGTGGTTATGGGTAGGCAGGAGGGACCTTGGGTAAGCGGGCCTTCTGGGGGCATACAGAGCAGACTGCTACCAGGCAGGGTCTGATGGGGCTTCTTAAAAAATTTTTCCTGCAGGGTATATTAACAGCGGGCTGGGGGGTGAATGCATAATTTAGTGCTGAATGTGGGCTTGGGTCTGGTATGTGGAGGTGGGTGCGGGGAAGCCCTGCAGCAAGGCCAGATAACAAGCTTGGGTGATGACGCAGTTACCAGGCACGGAGAGAGATGGGTGTGTCCGTTTAACCCTCTGCGAGGCCGCCGGCCTTACAGTATTGTTCCTGCCTTTCTTATGTCATGGCGAAGTGTTGGACTACCCTTGCTACCTCCCACTGTCAGGAGCAAGCAGAGGATGCTGGTGTAGAATTTCCAGTTCATGTTTTTGGTTTGTGCTAATGAATGGAGGATGTGAACATGCTGGACAGGGGCTTCACATTATTCTAGGTAGGTTACAAACATCCCTGCCTCTCTTGGATGTAAACTCATCTTGAGTCTCCTCTTCCTCCCTTCTTTCTTTCCTTTCTACTAGAGCTGACTTGTCTCTGCAGAATCACACAAATGTAAATGAGTTTTGGTTCTGTTGAGTCAAACTCTGTTGAGTTTTGCTGCTTCTGCACCATAAAAAAAAAAAAAGGAGTGGGAACTTTAAGATACTTTGATTAGTCCAAGCCTGGCTAATTTTCAGATTTAGTGAATTCTTTATCTCAGCAAGCTGTGAAAGGCAATATGGAGAATACATTGTCAGTCTTGCTGGGCTCTGTGGGAACCTTGTAAATGAGCAAGGGCTTGTTCTGCAGGAGACCTGAACTGTTCTAGCTTTCCAAGATCAGGCTTGCCATAAACAGGTGACCACAAAAATCTATTTGCAAGGAGAGAGTGACACATGGACTAGTGTTTAGCAGTGGAGGTTGTCGAAATCCATGTTAGAAATCAAGGTGCTCTGAAGATCTAGTTTCTCTTTTTCTTTTCCCTGCTGCCGTGGAAGACAAAGAATATTCTTGTTTCCTTTTAACATAGTCTAAGTGATAATTCCATTCTATTTCCAAACTTGCAAACAGCTGCTTCTGTGGACTGTCTGCCCATTGCAACCCAGTCCTAATGGTTTCCGTGTTCTATTCTGGTTGATAAGGAAGACCTGCAATTAGCTCTCCATTTCAAAGCCTCTCCTTGTTAATAGCCCTGACCTAAAAGCACTTTTAAAGAGATGCAGTCATCACTTAAAGAAGTCACCACTTAAAAAATAAGTGCATAAATCACCCAAGTTAGTATGTAAGGGGTATTGGCTTGAGTGATATTTTAAGATGTGGACAAAATATAATAATGTTTAGAAATAAGCCATGGCCCCTCATCTTTTATGACCATTAGTTGATGACTTGCTAACACTTAGCTTTAAACATTAAAAAATCCGCTGAAAAAAAAAAAAAACAATCCTGTCAGGCCTCCAAGTCCAAGCCTGGCCATTATAGCCCTGGTGACCTGCACATACACCTCTGGGTTGTCCCCGGGAGCCAGAAAGTCTTAAGTAACCACAGATAACAAGGTGGCCACAGAAAGAAGTGAAACGACTTGTTGCTGCCTCAACTAATTGCTCTCCTCCTGCAACCTGCAATCATTGCTCCTGCTCAGCCTTGTGGAGTTTCCTCCCTGGATATTGGGTTTCTTAGGACCCCCACCTCTGTAACTATGTAATTTACCTCACCCTCCCCTCTGCTTGCAACTGATACTCCCCACCCTTATGATCATGCCTGTTTGTAATAGATGACCCCTACCCTTGTGACCATGCGTCCTGTGATGCCCCTCCCCTCCCTAAAATAGGTTATCACCTTTAACTGACCACTTGCCCCAACCTATAAAACCAACTCCTATCCCACCACCCTCCACTGACTTTCTTTTCGGACTCAGCCCACCCGCACCCAGGTGAATAAACAGCCATGTTGCTCACACAAAGCCGGCCTGGTGGTCTCTTTACTTGAACAACATGACTAACAAATCCAATCATGAATTTTTCTTTCTTAGGCCTCTTCATTCCTTTTTTTTGTTTTGTTTTGTTTTGCTCTGTTTTGAGACAGAGTCTCAATCACTCTGTTGGCCAGGCGGGAGTACAGTGGTACAATCTGGGCTCACTGCAACCTCTGTTCCTGGGTTCAAGCAATTCTCCTGCCTCAGCCTCCAGAGTAGCTTGGATTACAGGTATCCACCACCACACCCAGCTAATTGTTGTATTTTTAGTAGAGACAGGGTTTTGCCATGTTGGCCAGGCTGGTCTTGAACTCCTGGCCTCAAATGATCCTCCAACTTCAGCCTTCCAAAGTGCTGGGATCACAGGTGTGAGCCACAGCATCCAGCCTTTTCATCCCTTTTGAATGGAATGAAGATTGGATTTTTGCTGTGTGGATTATTCTATAAATTGTTTTCATCATAAAACTGTGCCTTTAAGGCAAGATAGTCCCAAATTTCCTGCTTTTATTTCAAACTATGCCTCTGTGAAATTGTTTATATTGATGAGTTATACAAATGGAATCCAAGAGATGGAGAGGGACCTGAGCTCATCAATTTAGTGATGTCAGTAGCTCCATAGAGGTATTTATATCTTTCTTTTTCACCCTCTAGGACTTCTGGGAGAAGGCTGGGTGCAGACTAGAATCATATTTTGTTTTCTTGGAAACTTTTGTTTAAGTATTTTATAATTTTGTATATTTTGCTGCATATTTATGTATAGTCGAATTGTATGTAAATCAGTAGGATTATGTAATTACATAATTCCCTGATGTATCTTTCTGAAGTCTGATACATGTGATACAGGAGATCTCCTTTTACCTATTCTATAGTCCATACTCCATTAATATAATGCTTCTTGATGTATTTAATGGCCTTATAATTCACATTTCCCATCTGAATTTGGGACACATGAGAACACAAGTTAACATTTTCAAACCTTTACCAAGTGTCAGGGACTTTTACTATATATATGCTGGCCTCACTTAATCTTGACAGCACTCTTGTGTGAGACAGTGGGCACACTGAGGTTGGAGAGGCTATTGCAGCTGGCCTCGCTCCTTGTGCCAGTCCAGGGCAGAGCCAGGGCTGCTGGACCCCTAAGATCACCTTCTTAATTCACTATGGGGTATTAGCTCTCCGATTATTTGACTTAATACAGAAGTTTTTTTTATTATTTGTAATTTATGGGAAGAACTGAGATACATACAATTAAGTTTCATGTAGTAAATGACTTGATGAAGCACCATTGTTGAAAAAAACCTAGAAAATCTGCTATATTTTGCCATTGCCCACTCACAAGTGCAGTTTATCAATAAAGGATTATAGATTAGACCACCTTGTATCGAAACAGCTTTACATGGAATTTCCAAGGAGCTAGTACTTTTAAAAGAGGTTTGTTCTATATTCAGACTGAGGGGAGTGTCATGAATTATTAGAGCTATTAAGATTAGTGTATATCCCCAACTTTGCCAGGAAATGACCTAAATTGACTTTACCTCTCTGTAAGGCAGGAGGAAACTTTAAGATAAAGCAGACTCTAGTCTGGAATTGATGTGAATACCCACTGGGGAAACCTGAGTAATTATGTAATTAAATAACTAACTCTTACTTCTCCACCTTCTGCTGACTTGAGCAAGGGAAAAGGCCGGTTAACAATTCATATGGTTTTTTAATAAGGGTTAAGGTGAGCAAAACTGAAGAATTACTGAGAGAAGATTTAGGATAGGGCTCATTTTTAGGCCTAAAGGAATGCTTCTAGAATATTTAAGTGAGAGCAGACCTAAACTAATTTTCAATTTAATGAAGTCCAGAGAGAATTGTTCTATTTAAAATAATGTTTTTGTTTTTCCTGAAACTGTAACTGCCCTGTGGTGTGCTTTATTTTATAAATCCTGTTTTGTTTTTCTGTATTGACCAGCTGGAAGAAAAACCTTCTAAAACAAAAGGGGTTTTGTATGCATATTTCAGAGGCTGTTGGTGGGACAGAAGCCAGGAAACTGGGTCCAGCTGTGCTTGGGGGTGGGGGGAGAAGGGATCCCAGAGTGGGAGGGGCAGAAGGAGAGGGCTGAACACAGAGGACTGATTAGGTGGGAGGGCTGCTGGATTTACCCCCAACTCTGAAATAAAGCTGGGTATGGAAGAACAGGCCAGCAACACCACCTTTGCTGAAAATGGGGAGGGTAGCATTCGTGCATTTCAGAGGTAATAAACAGATGTAATTTACAGTCAACAGGAGGGTTTAAGAAAAAAAAAAAGTTGTTAAAGGTGCGCATGCCCAGGCATCCAGTGCAGAGGATGTTCTTAACGAATGTTTGCTCGAGATAATGGCCTCACTGCGCTCAGTTCTGCATGTTGACATCTCTATCGGTGGGGTCTGGAGAGTGTGATGCTGAGTAGGAAGACAGGGTGGGGACTGAGCTCACGTGGATCAGGCAATTGGCAACGGGGAGCAGGTGGCCCGGGTTTGGAGTCAGAGCCAAACACGCAGCGTGGTGCGTGCTGGAAAGGCAGTGAGGAACAGGACACGCTCTCTCCTCTCAAAGAGCTCGTCACTTGCTGAAGAGAAAGCAAGAGGTCATCATAATACACAGGCCAAGTCCTGGTTTTTCCTCATATGCCTGTTGGGGCCTCGAGCTGGTCATTTTGCCTGTCAGTTTCTATAAACGGAGATGGAAACAGGAAGGTGGGGAGGTGCTTCTGTTTCCCCAGCATGGTAAGTTTGGCGAGACCCCATTGCAGGCCACAGAGGTGGCCTCCACCTCCCCTGTGAGTGCTCAGCATATGTCCACTGTGGGTCTGTCCAGGGAAGGGCCTTGCTCCTTTGTGTCTCCCCTGCATTGGGGCAGGAGGGCAGCTCCCACCCACGGGGCTCGCTCTCAGAACCCTCGGTGCGTTACTGATGTGGACTGAGGGAGCACTTCTCAAACTCTTTGGTCTCAAGACCCTGCACGTTTTTAAAAATTATTTATCCCACAGAGCTTCTATTTAAAATTTGGATTATATCGATTTACCATATTAGAAACTAAAACAAAATGTTTAAAATTATTAAAAACATTAGCAAACCCATTTCATGTTAATATACTTTTAATGAAAAATAACTACTTTTATTATACTTCTACCAACCTCATAGCTATGGAATGAATATCCCCCACCTCCCTAAACAATGTAGTCCTTGCTGGGTTCTTATGAAGATTACATAAGAAAGTAAGACGGCAGTTTGCAGAATGTACAACAAATCGTGAATGAAATGTCACTCTAGTAAACAGGCTCACAGTTTTCCGGCAGTCTGCAGCATGATTAAGGATTTCCCCCTCCTGTGCTGGGTTTCAAAGTGTGATTTTTAGATAGGAAACAAGGGTACCAGGAAGAAAGCGCAGATAAGACTCTGGATTTAAGTAGCATTATTTCTTAGTCCTGTGACTATAAAGGGACCTAATTGGTCATTGGGAATTATAGGCAAATCTGCCTGGGCAGGCAAGATCTGGAAAACTTGACTATGGCAGTCTTAAGTGTTCTTTAAAATAAATTCTGGCGTCTGAAAAAAGGGAACTGGGATCTAATGCTGCTCTAACAGTGTGTTCTGTTTCCATTTTTACTTATAGACTCAAATTTCTTTGAGCTGGCCTCTCTCGAGGCAGTCCATGGATGAGGGTGGCTGTTGATGGAGCTATGGGTGGGTGGGACAGAGGACATCACATTTCCAGTAGTACTGCAACACATACCTCCCTGAAGATAATGCTGTGGTTTTATTTTTAACCAGAAAATATTCAGGTGCATTCTTAGTTTAGGAGTTAATTATTGGCATTTTAAATTCTCCAGGCCTTTCATCCTTTTCCAATGAAGAAACAATTACTTGCCTACCCAACATCCAACTGCTCCTGACCCCCATACCAGGTATAGGACCTGCCTTCATTATCAGCCCTGTGCTTCCAAGGAGGCTGGCCACGGGCTTGCCTGGCATCAGAATATGAGGGGGGTACCCTCTCAGTCTTGTGAAAGTGAAGTCCTTTCTTCCACCGAAACGTTTCATATTCAAATGATGCTTGGAGCAGCTATAGCTGTTTGCAGCTGTGAGAAGAGCCAGCCAGGGAATCAAGCTGACACATGGTGGATCCGAAGAAAGATAAAAAGGTCCTCCTGGCTGTGTAAAGGGAGCACTGAATCACCTAAACCTGGAGCCAGTCTGCCTCCTTGTTTAGGCCACTCAGGGAATTGGACTTTCTGTTACTTGCAGCTGAACACACCCTAATTGATGCACCCTCTCTAAAGGAATGATCACGACCCATAGGACCCAGAGAAGGGAGGCTAGCTCAGGTGTGTGCAGCTGCCATAACCAATCTGAAGATCTGTGGTAGGATTCTTGTCTTTGTGTCTGACTGTCTTCTGACCATTTTGTTGTCCTTTAATTTTGTGTGTAAGATAAAGAGTTGAAGTTTTAAATTAAATGGTTGGTAACTTTGATAAGATAGGGAGGAGACCTGAGATATCTGTGGCGTTTACAAGGTATGGGACCTTAGACATGGGGCTTTGGGTTTCTTTTCACCCCTTGAGCATGCAGATGTATATTATAGCTTCGACCTGCCTCCATAAATTACCGATTTACTTGTAGGCTGTCCCATCCAGACCCTGAACTCCATCATCCTTATGCCCATGGCTGCTGGTGCAACACAAGTGACCCCCAGTAATGAGTTACCAATTATGGAGCATTGTTCTACACCAGGAATTATACTAATAGCTTGGCATGCATTGTCTTACTAATGTTTACTGCAAGTACAATAGGTACTAATATAATCTGCACTCTAATGATAAGAGCACTGAGTCTTGAGTGATAAAATCATTTGCTTGAGGTCCCACAGCTAATATATGATAGAGGTTCAAATATAGGTCTGACTTGAAAATTGTTTTCTTTTTCTTCAATGCATATTTGTTGAATATCTGCCATTTAGACATGTTAGAATAGGAATTGTTGTTCCTGTTTATTTCACCTTTCACCCTTGGGAAATGTATTGGGACAGAGGACACATATGTCATACTTGAATATTGCCTCTTCTCTGGAAATAGGCCTTAGTGGAGTATGTGACTTACAAATGTGTTCAGTTGTCAGCAAGGGAAAGCCTAGCAGTGGTTTAAATGAGATGGGGTCATTTTCCTCAAGGCTGTCTGGAGGTCAGCTTTCGGCACTGATATCGCCAGGATTCTCTTGGCCTTCCATTATATCTGACTCTTTGTGCACAAAATGGCTGTTGCAGCTTCAGATATCACATCTCCATCCAGAAAGAAGTCCGAAAGACTGAAGGCAGAAGGGCAGAGCCAACTAAACAGGTCTGGTCCTTTTCGTTGGTAAAGCAAAAGTTCTTCTGAGGTTATAAGGGAGGCAGGAAAAGTGGAAAACAGGATAGTTGGGAAAGGCTCACACCAATCCTACTACCACTTGGAGCTGACCATGCTGTTGGGCAAAATAAATTGGACTCTGGTCACTAAGGAGAAGGCTGCTGACGTTGCCAGCCACACATCTGAAAGTGGAAGCTGTTAGAATTTGAAGAGGTGGTGGAGATATCCCCATCCTGCAAGCAAAACAACTGAGACTTGTAGGGAACACAAGTGTCTGAGCCAGGACAAAAGAAAAGGGTTTGTTTCCCTAGACTGCTGCTCTTCTCACTGTGCTGTCCCTTTCAAAGCTTTTACATATCTCCTCTGCAAGTTGTTCCTCTCATCCTTTTTTGAGATGAGAGTTTTGCTCTTGTTGCCCAGGCTGGAGTGCAATGGCGTGATCTCGGCTCACCAGAACCTCTGCCTCCTGGGTTCAAGAGATTTTCCTGCCTCAGCCTCCTGAGTAGCTGGGATTATAGGCATACACCACCACACCTGCCTAATTTTGCATTTTTAGTAGAGATAGCATTTTGCTGTGTTGGTCAGGCTGGTCTTGAACTTCTGACCTCAGGTAATCCTCCTGCCTCAGCCTCCCATAGTGCTGGGATTATAGGCATGAGCCTCCAAGCCTGGCCCTCTCATTCTTTTGAAGGAGGCTGGGGAGGTCAGAACCTTCCTAGTATCTGGTGGATAGAAACTAAGCTTCGGAGAGAGCCAAATATCATGCCCAGGATTATCCCCTACTTCTGTTCAGAGCTAAACTATGGGAGGGAGTTGGACCAGAGTGCTTTTCCCACTGTCCTTTGTGATACCGTGACCCTTTATGGTCTCTCTCCCTAGCCTGGAGCAGTGAGGCTCCTTGCTCAGGCCCCCTGGGCTTTCAGATGGGTAGGCACATCTGCCTTGACACCTGATCAAGGAAGGCTCTCGCTCTCAAGGAACAATTGGGTAGAGCCCAGCCTCCATAAGAATATTGGGTCCCTGTGTGTCCCTGGGGAGGAGAGAATGCCCCCTAGTATAGCCATGAAGAGTGGTGATGCCCCGTAGACTTGAGTCTGAACGTTTCTCTCCAGGCTGGTCTGACCCTGTCTTTCAGTCCAGTTCCTGGTTCAGTCCTCTATGGCCTGTTTCCGCCTTTCCATGCTGGGACAGTGTGTGCCTTGGTGCTTTCCGACACATTGGGGGAAACACTGTAGCCCACCTCAGCATCCACCTATGTGAATAATGTGTCCAGTCACCCTGGTAACAAGGCGTTGGGTGTAGCCAGCAGCAGGTGTAGGTGGGCAAGTCAAGTGCTCCTAAGTTTTCCTCAATTTAGGAACTTCTTCCAATTATACTAGGATGGAAAATGAGTGTGTGTTGGGGGGGTTTAATCTAGGGAAAGGGAAAACACCTGTCCTGAGCTAAAGGCAGCTACATAATAGGATTTTGCGGTAAAATAATAGAGTAGAATAATTATAGTGTTTATAATACTTGAGTATTTGTTTACTGACAGATTGCCTTTTCTTCCATGTGAACATTTTTATCAGCTTCCAGGACCTTAGCTGGTTTTCATTGGTTTTTGTGGGCACCTACATGTGTAGTTCTGCAAGCTTACTAAGTCTCTATTTGGATGCAGGGCATTTACAACCACTCCTGCTGCAAATGATGGTGCTGCATTTGCTTTTCGTGGTGTCTGATATGAATGGCGAGAATAATAACATGAGGCAGACTTAGGTTCCCCACTGTCTCTGGCCCCTTATGTAGAATCTGTCCTGTCCTCCACAGTCCCTTTTTCATGCCCTGGGTTGGGATAGTTGTCAGGCAGCTTTTACTGTCTTAGTTTGACTGCCTTTTGCTCTTGAATCATTGCACTAAAGAGAACAGTTTGCTACTGTTTAATGTCTTCAGTGCGTTAAAAAAAAATACTGGGCATATTTGTTTTACTTCCAGCACATGTCTCATTTGGAAAGGTCATGCATTTATATAGTCAACTCGCTATTATCCTGCTTGGAGTGAAGCAGCCTGATGTATTGCTGTATATACAGTTGCCTTCGGGGTGACCAGGCTATCAGGCAGTTGCAAACAGACTAAAGGGCACCTGTTGTGCCCACACACAAACCCAACCTCTAGCACAACATTTATCCCAAGAAACAGCCTTGTCTTGTCTTCACGTCACATAGTGCCAAACCTGAGGCTACTTGCTGGGCAGGCTAATGTCAGCTGACCTGCAGGCTGGAATAGGGAGGTATAAGGTCTGTGATATATTTAAAGCAGGCAGCTAGTAAGGAATCAGCCCAACCTTTTTGGCTCCTACCCAAGGCCTGTTTTTATAAAGAGTGCTTGCAGTACAGGATCGAAAGG